GATACTCTTTTCTCTGTTTGTTAAGTGACCAAGTTTGGTTGTACTGCTTTCCACCTCAGCACGCAAGTTGCTATTTGATGGACTACTACCAAGGCTTATCAACCAGCTAATCCCGTACGCCTGCAGCATCCTTCGTGAGTTGACTGTTTCCGCCAGACTAGCAGTTCACTTTCGCCACCAATGCTAAACCCGTCTTCAGTCGGCGTTACTTCCTTTGCATTCGCAATACTTTAACGCTTAACTATTTTCCATGTATCGATGAGTATCTAAATATCACGTGACGATTCAGTGCCTTCAAACAATCTTTTCTTGAAGCTGCTTCGAGGAGTCCTCCTTTTCAGTGTTAAATTTCTGAATACAATACCATACATATGCCACATTTTTCCGTCAAATCGGCTTTATTTCTGCTCCAAGCTAAACTTGTTCCCCTTTATATTTGTACCATGTGTCGTGGCCGTTTTAATGGCGATGTTCTGCATTCACTTTTACTTGGCTGGTTGAAACACAGCAACTCTCTTCCCATTGCCTGTGTAAAATACCGGACAGTTAAAATCAATAGTTCTGTGTATTAAGTCTGCTACTGCCTGGTTGATTGCCGATACACATCCTACGTTTTCTGTTGCTTTATCGATACAACGCCATACAATAAAACCACTGGCATGATGAATGATGAATAAGCCATCACCGACCAAACTTGCGTGTGAAGGTGCCGTAGTAGTAACTAGTTGAAGCCTTTCCGTTCTTAATATATCACTTGATATGGCACATTGAGCTGTGACGAGATTAACCTGCCACTGACCCCCTGGGTTGTCGCGGATCCTTTCAGTTTACTATTATTTGTACATCACTACTCATCCAAGGGTCCATTTGGTCCAAAAGCTTTTGTGTCAAGACGAAACGATACTCACGAAACATGTGCCAACCGGTATTTTAACCCTTCTTGAATCACGAGTTCTCGATTAGTTCCAAGTGTACTTCAAAATGCTGGAGGCGGCCACCCTAGGGTTCGCCTTACGCCACGTCAACATTTGGGCCCATTTCCTCTCCTGCTCTCTCTCTCACTACACGATGTATCCATCTTTCCCCACCGGAACACGGTGGACTAGTGTCAATATGCAATATCTTGTTCTCCCCGCACGAAATTGACCTATTTACTCTGACTTGCTAACTCGCGTTCACAAGGTTAGCTTGTGTTTCTGTCCTCGGAAATGCACTTGCATTTGTGCAGACATACGCTGCGGATTGTGTCCAATTTCGATGTGCTCTAACGCAAAGCCGTGCACTTGCAATTTTACTCGTATGCACATACTTGTGTGCTTTGGTTTTTTCGCTCTTTTTAAACCATCGCATCAAATTTGGTTCACTGGTTCGCATAAATGTTGGGTTTCGTTTTTTACTTGGACGATTACTTGATAGAAATATTACATCTGGTGCCAACTGAACTCATCTGCATCATCTGTACAATACTAAAAGAAGCCTGCTCCCGTCTCTTGTGCCCTCAGTACGCACCTATGTTGCTTTGTCGCACTCTGAACCAACCCGATCAGCTTTTCCTCTCTTTACCTGAGAATGGTTGTAATGGCGTCTATCGGCCATACTTGGTTTATTGACTTGCCTGATGACCCTTTATCTGGTCCATTTTAATGCAACCTTGTTGGTGATTTGCAGGTGATTCGATGTAGAGGTTTTATCAGGTTATTTAGGTTTCTCTCTTGCTTCTTGCTCCTTGCTGTTTGTGGTGGTTAAACCGTGATATATGGTACTGGCATACTCTCATTGATTGCTTCTCCTCAAGACATTCGTCATTCAGTTCACTTAACTGCTTCTTCGAGAAAACGGTAACTGCCCGAGTTGGCCGGGGATACTGTAATGTAATCAACTAAGTGCTCTGCGCAGCGGTGGTAGAGAGACAACGCCATATCGCAGTTGGTATCTTTGTCACAACTCCGTCAGCCACACCGGCCCGAGCCGACGTCTCGTAAGAGTGTTCTTGGGTTGGAATGCAACGAGTTCTAGAATAATCAGCACCCACGAAGATCACCGTGGGCGAAACGCTTGTCTAGTGCCAACCCGACTGTGTTGTCTCAATTTGACTGAGTCTTGCCCTGACAATTCTTGAAAATCGTTCAATTCTTCCTACTGCCCCTCTGTGCATATTACACTATTTTCTCTTATTCTTTTATGTGTCGGATTGGCCACACTATCGCTTGGGTCACCCATACTTCTCCCTTATCTACCACGCGTTCTTTTTCCGTTCCCGCCTCTTTTTAAGCCAACTGATGCTTTGTAATGGGTAGATACGATTAACCATGTTCAGCTTCTGCTATATCGAACTTTTGCTCAGTGTCTTCCCTGCACCTCGCTTTTATTGTCACTATTACTGTCAGTTCCCTCCATGGAAGGTTGTCTTCTTTTTACATCTAAACCCTCCGCTTAGCCTGAGTCACTGTAATCGCAGTTATCCATACTCACTCTCTGTGAACCATCTTTCCTCACGGATCCTATGTACATCAACTTCGTCTATTCCACTCCGCTTCATCAAATCACAATTGCCGTTCCATGTGCTCTAGCATACTTTCCATGGGTTGCTATTCTATTCTGCTTCTGCTGCGCAATCGGAGGTGAAATTTATTGACTTAAAACCGGGATGTTTCTTCACTTTCAAAGCGTGGCGCAAGGCTGCCTACATTCCTTTTTTCTTTGTTGTTCATACGTGTTGGTTAACAGGTGACATGCTACCCATCCCATCGGATGTCATAACTAGTGATAACGGGTCCGACTCTTGCATAGGTTCCTGGTTAATTTCTTATGTAGTCCAATTTGGCTAACCGTATTGACATAGCAAGATACTCTTATCGCATCATCTCCGGAGTCACCTCACACCTTTTCGAATACGTTGGAGACTGTCCAACTTACTGCTACTTCCATGGATCTTCATTAGCTCACAACTATTCGTCACGCCCTTCCGTACGACTTGCAAATGTTATTTTTTGTATAGAGAGTTAGAATAGATAATCTGTTGTCCCCCCCTAAATATTATCGAACGCAGATGCAGAATAACGCCGTCTGTTACAGCTCATTGTCAACACAGTTCTGTTGTGCACCCTCAAAATCTGTAAACCACAAAATGGGTGTCTAGCGATTTCTTTAATTCCGAAACCAATTTCCCTCGCCTGTTGTCTCTGATTAACTGTTCCTTCATTTCCCCACTCAACTCTCTAAGTATAGCGATATCGTGTAGATTTGGCATACGAAAAGCCATGGCTCTGGGGTCCAACTATGCCCTCTGCCTATTCCGTGACTTGCATGGTAGTGGAGCAACAACTGCGCTGTATAACAGTTAGCCTGTAAGTCATGACAGTCTGCAACCGTCATTCATGATCTAGTGGCTTAAGCTGCTGTTGTTGATTGCTCGTTGGCTTGGTTCCTGCTGTCGGCCTAGAGTTACACACTACTAGCAAGTCCCAACAAGACGAGGCATACGGCCAGCGCTTTTCCGGAGGTCTAGTAGGTTGTCCGACTTGGAGTTACTTCGGAATATCCCCAATAAATGGCGCGACCAACACTTGTATTAATCAAGTAAAGCGAATCCAACTGACCCGAATCGGATGGGCTGGCTGATCCCACCTATTGCTGCGCTGGCGAACCTGAGAGCCAGACACTGAAGGCCATTACGCGGTCACAGCACTTACACGGGTCTGGGTCTCAGGCCAAGAGTGCTCACCGCTTGAGTGGGGAAGCTTATCTCATTTGCAATTAGGAGCACGTCAGTTCCGAACTCAAAACGCAGTCTTCGGGCACTTTGGACCGCGCCGGACATTGCACTAAATTCGTCAGGCATTTTAACAGCTTGGTGTCCACCGTAGTTCATTGGTCCCAACAACAGAATGGTAGCAGTCGAATTGCTAGTTCTAGCCCCATAGGGGCAAGACGGAATGCGCACTGTTGGCGATTCCCAAAAACATGAACCGGCTGTACAGTGCTTTTGCACGTGCCCGAACTAACTAGGATGGGGCAACGCAGACGTATCTCTGTTAGCTCTCTCTTTTCAGTATTCAGCCTAGCTAAATGTCACAGTTTGACAATGTGTGGTTAAATGTGGACGATTCGGCATCATTTCTTCAGCCAACTTCTACTCGAATTCCATCGTTATTTTTCTAGACGACCATTACCTCTTGCTGTCCTTTGTGCGACATTCCAGCCGCCCTGAGTGCAACTGAATGGCTTTACTCCCTTTATCTACAAGAACTTTACGTGCGAACTCCTATACTCTTTCGGCACTTGTGACCACCTCCTTCGGCACTGACGCAACAGGGGGTAAATAATTGATAACCGCATGGTACCGTTCAACTCGGATTAGCGTGCTCTGAGCACGACGCCACAGCATTGCTTAGGCTGGCGATCCTCTGGGGCTGAATTGACTAGTTTACTATGCGTGGTATCGCAGCACTGAAAGCCTCTCTTTTCAGTTCGGGTGCAGCGGTAGTCAACATTCATTGAACACCCAGATTCCTTTCTGCAATGCTCCTTGTTTATGCGAGCCACCACCAGACGAAAAGGCAGTCATCAATAGTACCTTAGTGTACCTCACCGACGCTTCGCTGCAACGCGCCTACCATCAGTCGCGCGGGCTAGGGGCACTATGAGGTCTCTCACCCACACAGGTTCGAATCGGTGACTCTCGGATTGCAAGGAAGACGCACCATCCCTTCGGCCACCAAACCCAATCCTCAGGGGAGTCTCTGGTGTCTTCCGTACGACACTACTAGCTGGATAGGAGCTCATGTTTGACAACCTAAGCTTTCGTCCCCGCTTCCATCTTATACGAAATCGCAAAAGTCGAATCATTTGTAAGTTGGTTATATCAGTTCCTTACTGAAAATGTACTTCCGTTCTACAAGCTTCAATGTGTCCCATACTTCTTTCGCACGCTGTCTTTACAATGTTAGTTTCTTCCACATACTCAGTGTTTACGATATCTTCGCCATCTTTCCCCACAGGTCCACGCTTACATCATCGCCTACCTAAAAGAACAAATGCCCGCATTGATTGCTCGAGATTCCAAAAAGAACCAACTCATCGCCAATTTGAGCAAAGTGTACGAAACCCTGTCTCGAACGCATCATATCTCTCTCGGTGATTTCCCTAATGTGACCCGGATGCAAGAATCGTTGACCTTGTTCGATTTCCGTCATCTCACTTCCCTACAGCCAAAATTGATCAAGGCGGTGGACGATATGTTGGCCAACGACGTGGCCAAACTGATGCAGATGATTCCTCAGGTAACTCCTGTCTCCTTTGTTGTACCTGCATTCCTTACAATGAGTTCGTGTCTTTTATCACCCATGTGGTCTGTCTGTGGTCACCTTTTCGCCCCGCAACTTTTTATGCGAACAGTTTTACTCCCAAACATTGAGACTTGAGGCGCCTATACGTCTCAATCCCGGAACTCGTCTAAACTACCCCGCCTCTATCTTGTCGGCGTGATGAGTAGTACCTGTCTTTAGCAGCGCTATCTCTTCCCATTCGAAGGCGCTCTTCTTCACTGGTTTGTCAGCCTCGTTCCGCAACAACCGTCATTCACATCATTCCTCATCATACGGTATGGCAGTCAGTTCTGCTACTCGTTATCTCGGAATTCGGACAGTTTATCGCTTCTGTCTTCCCATTATGCGGCGTGTTTTGAGTTCGTGTCATTCCTTACCCCAGATTTGCTTCGCTGTTTCTCTTGGCAGTCAAGTCTGTCTATCGGACACGCATAGTAAAATGAACACTTGGACCCACCTCATCGTCACATGCGTTTTGTGAAGGCGCCACTTCCCATCAGCCAAAGCTACGACAAACAGGCACTAAACAGATGATAACCACTCTTTTAAATCCAGTACACCAGTTGTACTCCATCCACCCTTCCTAAACGCCAGTTTTGCAAGTGTACGTCAAGGGCCCGGTGCTCCCATAACTTTTGCCCCCGTGGAGGTATCGCATGTTTTCAACTTGGGTTCTATCTTTTGGCAGCACTCTTCCTTACTATAATTGAATCCTTACCTGTCCCACCTGTTGTTTACACATGGTGATTCACTCGCACTGTATCGCTACTACCCTTGCTCCACATACATCTGGTCCACCTTTTGTCCCAGTGAATCAGCCATCTGTCGCCCGCTCGGCTGTTGTGTAAACACACCACCTCGTCTATCTACTTCGTATTCGATTGGGATGATGGATTTCAGAAATTGGTCAATGATCTGGAATTGGTAGATTGGTAGCTCAGGTTGTTCCGGTGACAGCCGAACTGTTCACTAAGCTTGTCAAGTTTGTTGCGAACGTTTTGTCACCAATCGATTTATCTTCTAATCGGCTCTCGCTGTTGCTAGGAGTGACCCCGCTCAGCTACGCTGCTTCTTGATTGCTAATCGCCAGGAGCATCGGCTTTTTCCTTCAGGGACACGAAGATTTCCATTTTGTGCCCATGAACTCGACCGGCTTGTTAACCTCCTATGTACGACGGTTTTGCTGAGCATTATCGCATGTCATGGCAACTAAGTTTTACTTTCGGCAACATTGGGGATTGTTCTGTAAGGTAGCTTTAAACTAGAGCCTATCGGAATATGAAAAATCTATCAATTGGTGCTGATTTAAGCTGATGTTCTTTTTCTGGTTGAATATTTTCGGAAACTGACATTACCGCCAGTCTCCTAGATTCTCGCGTTATTGAGACTGGTTGGGAGTTTGACGCAGCGACTTAGTTTACAAATACAGCTTCATAACCAATGCAGATGTATTCGGTTGACTCCCTTCTGATGTCTGTCACCGATTACAATCTGGAGTATGGATGCTCTTTCGACAGTACTTCAAGCGGCTTTCAGTCGCCAACCTAATTCACAGAACTCGTTGATACAGCAACGAAAACTATGTCCATTGTCTATTTAACTACTTCGAAACAGCCTTGACTCGTCACCTGAATCTGTGACTTATTTAGGATATTTTCGAGTTTGTTTCATTTTTTATTGTTCCCTCCCTAGTGTTTGAGATTGATAAACGGACCACAGACATCCAGATGACATCGGTACGCATTGTCACTCGTGGGTAGTTCATCCGTAGACTTGGGTGCTCTGTATTCCATCCAATCTGTTGGGTCCATGAGCATGCCCACAGGATCCGGATATAACCCTAAAATCCCTTGTATTTGAATAAATCCACCAATGATACTTGACGTAGCATCCTGTCGTCCATAGTATTAACCTTTATCTCTTTCTATTGTCTTTATTACTGAATCCCTTTACGTTGTTGCTTTTCTGTGGATCATCCGGGTATAACACTAGGGTGTCCGGCAAGAAAGTGAGAATAATATTAAAAACAATACTTGTTTACGATCGACCCGCTCACTCTTTTCCAACCAACTACGGCCAACGTCTACGATAAGCAATGTGATGACCAGCCGTTTATTCTCTCATTAGAACATAGAATGCCGATGATCAGATGATCCCTTCTGTGGGACGGATCACCTAATGAAGTATAGGATACTCCACTGCGTAGCCGTATCTGTGAGCTATTGGGACGAACGATATCAGAGATGTCAAATTAGCCGAATTTATGAGATTTCCGTTGTGCGCTTTCAGTGCAATCGGCTGGGGTGTCTCCTATCTGTTGCGCTTGCATTCTAGAGCGCACTTGCATATGTTTTGGCGTTTTTGGTGCATCTATCGAACATCGACACCACCATAGTGGTAGTGCTACACTTCGAATGCTACCATGCTTTGATGACTACTTTCCAAACTACAATCCACCAGTTTCGCGACGATTTAAGTAAACTCTATCACTTATCCTTTTCATTATTCATAAGCAAAACTAGAAATCGCATTGTGTGTAAAAACTTCTTTTCGGGTACAATCTCATCAGAATCATAAGTTTACGTGGTGGAATAAGGGTGGAAGTGCCGTAAAGAGCTTCATATTGCTCCCACGGAGTTTGAATGATAGATTCCACTTCAATTCATTACGTATTGTAACGAGGCAAGCATTAGTATTACGCCGTTACGCAGTACCGACGCTTCGCTGCCTCGCAACAACCGCCAGCCGCACGTTGGCGAAGGATACTACGAGGGTCGCCCAGTTCCTACACAGGCTCAAACCCGCACCGTCGGATTCCAAGACAGACTTGTGATCCCTAAGGCTACGAGTCGGCTGTCATAACGAAGAACCACTGTGAATCGACTAGAGACGACTCTCGTTTTCAACCGATATCATCTGCTCTTCGCTATTGGGTCAACTTGCCTGTCATCACAACAACTTCAGACTAGATATCCCTGTTTATGGGAAACATTTGGACTATCCGCGCTCATCTTGTTGTGCTTAAATCATGGAACACCAAAGACAATCATGGTCTTCTTTCATCATTCAGCGACCATCCCAACTGCACTACAATCTTATCCGTTCTACCCCTCATTGGTATACCACAATCCAGTATTCGCCATAGATGTTTGACACTTTGATAAACCACCTTGCTATTACCGATACATGCGGTCACTTCTTGGATCAGCACAAGCAGCGAAAGTAATCGAATCAACCGATACCTTTTAGTGGCCGCAATAACCCAGTGTTGCAGCAACTGCACTTCCCACCTTGACGTCACGTGACATGTTCACATATGCTCATCCTGAGATGTTTGCACATAGAACCAAACCATCAAAAGCTGTATCGTCTGTGTAGTTTAAATCTATCATTCTGTCACCTAGCAATACGTTTTCTCCACCTACACAATACGTCATTTTTTAAACCCACATTTATCGTTCTACCTTCGGTGCTACGAACACTCTGTTGCAATCGAAACACGTCTTTCTATGAACAACTGAATTCATAATCGTAGACAGTGCTGAAAGACACTAGTTACCCAGTACAAATCGTGTTTTGCCACTTACTCCGTACCACATAGTACATGGCGTATATTCCTCATCGAATTGACCAAGTTGGCTTTTAATCATCCTACAACATCGTCGTATGTCGATTCGACAACCAACACACTTCTTTTCCCGTTGGATTTCTCTCATATGCCAACAAACCTAGTATAATCTTATGTCTTGGCAATTCGCTCCATTGTTCGAAAGCAGCAAATGTGGCGAACTTGAACTTGAGACTTTCGAGACGAACTTTCGTCACTTTTAAACGACGGCTGCTGAATTCGTATATTCGTTCCCACGTTGAATATGCTGTTCAGGCTTGGCCTCCATGCTTAAAAGCAAATATTCGTCCCTTGCAGTAGCCCGAAAGAAGAGCCACCAAGACAGCGCATGGACTATCCGGTCCCAGGTACAAACTGCGCCTCCGTGTACTCGATGTGTTCTCCTCGGAATACCGACGGCTTCGCGGAGACACCGAATACTAACTGAGAGCGGTCACCCATATAATTCACTGCTGACACTAGCTCTTAACAAACAACGTCGAGACCACCACCTGAAACTAGTAACGCAACACTCCCGTTTGGATTGCAGAAAGTATTTTTACTCGCTTAGAATCTGTTTCCACTGATACGCACTGCCAACACATATAGTGAACACACTACATATCTCGACATTCGAACAACTATTGGACTTGCAACTAAGTGAAAAGCGCTACGCAACGGTGTGACAAAGTGCATTGTCTAGACCAGGGATGTCCAAAGTCCGGCCCGCGGGCCAAATGCGGCCCGCATTCACATTTCTACTGGCCCACAACCTCATCATGAAATAACGAGTTCAAGCTTCGATTATTTTCTTACAGACGATATTATATAGATTATAAAAATGTTATGAGGAAAATATGTAATGGCATTGTGGTGCAATAGCGGGACAACAACATTTACGACGTTGTTTTTCTCATTTCGAGCCTTGCGCACACTGGCACCGAAGACCTCGCGTAGTTGCGCATGTTTTTCGATCTCTATCACAATGGATTCTGCATATTACCTCTTAAAATTGCTTCACTTTCAGTTATGTAGTTACCTTCATATATTGCTTCTACAGCATTTCATGTCGCTACGTAACTGATTGCTAATTCCACACAATGTTGACCTGTATCCGAACATAGTAATGGTGAACTCATCCACCTACTCTCCAATTCTTAGCGTCACTTTCGTTATTTTCCCATCACTACTTAACTCATCGTACAACCCACACCTACCTCACCAGTGTGATGTCATTAGTCCAACCAGACAAATCACTTTTCTGGCCTTTTTTTCTTTAGGCCATCAGTACCGTTATCGGTTAATCAATCAACTTTAGTATGTGTTAGACTAGTCAGATTTGCAACTATCATATGCTACTGTGTCGCACCCCGTAACGTTACTGGATGAACAAATCGTCAACTGCACGTCGTAACGGCGCTTCACTGCCTCGCGAACACCACCAGTCGCGCGTGGGCTGAGTATACTTCGAGGTCACCCGCCCCTGCGCGGATTCGAACCGATGACCATATGAGTGCAAGCCAGGCGTGCAGACCATGCGACCACCGGCCGACACTGCCACAGTATAAACTATTCTCATTTGTAATTTTGTTAAGGTTTTCATCTCAGTAGTTCACAAGCTACATAGCAGAGCCTAGTCCAGAAAAGCGCCAGACGCGTTTCCCCCTTATTGGAGCTCGTCAGTGGTGCGCATTCCCTCGGTCCTCTAAGGAGGATCGAATCCATGACCGCTAGAGGCAGATGCCAACTAGCCAACAGCTTAAGCCACTGAGCCATGGGGGACGTTGGCTGGGCTACATAATTTGCAAACTAACTGGGATATGGCACCACCTATCTTTCCCTCTCACTAACAGTGGTTAGCTTGCGAGGTCATTTGTATAAAATAATAGATTTCATCGCATTAGCATGTTCGGTACCATCTGCATGCTTTCCGTTTCTGACTATCTCGAATCCACGCTTCATTTTTATATTCTCTGAGTTACATCGGGCCCACTTATCGATGCGTCTGCGCTTATCAAGTGCGGGTCTCAGATATAGTTACCAATCAGTATCTAGGCGCCCAGTATCCTTTAATTTTGTCAGTGTCCATCACCAGAATCATCAGTACTGACTGTCTCATTGGATTCTTCAGTAAAACTGTTGTGGTGATCTCATTGTTTCGCGAAAAATCCACGCCGAACGTCTTTTTCCAATCTCTAACTTCGTCATACTGTTACCTTGCGACAATTGCGCAATGCCCTGTCGGTGACAACGCTATCAGATGTCAATTATCTCTGTTCTAATTCCAGAGACATTGTTACCAGTTCATCGACTGTGTGATCCCTCAGTGCGTCTGTTCATCAGTGACAATTACGTCTACTAAATACTTTAGTCGACAGTTGTCGAGTGGCAGTCACATTGCCCTGACGATTGCCTTCCTATAAAAGCACCCGTCGTGCTATAAATACGAAGTTGTGTCGTCTTTGGCTTGGGCCGTAACAGCGCTTCTGCTGAAGGTCAGGGTCTTTTCTCTGTCGGGGGTCACCAATAGTATTGCCGTCTCTGTGTGAGTGTCGGTGCGATGCGATATGAGCCGTTGCGCGACCAAGTCACACAGCAGCGCCAGCCACTTGTGCGCTTTGGGCACAGTCTAGAAGAGCTGAGTCTTTCGGTCTGACTATGGTGCTGTATTCAATGCGATGACGTTGCAACACCAACCGAGAAAAATCACAAGTATTCCCACCATTATATGTGATGTAAACTCCGAATTAACTAAATCGCACTCTAATATGCTGTTTTATGCATGTCGCACTGCCGATTATGACTGACTCCTTCAGCTGTTCGCCTACTCCAATTCTTGTGTCCGAAAACCAGTGGCCATATCGTATCTTTTTTACTCCGCAGTCAAAGTTATCTCATGAAGAAATTGACGACCCAAACACCAATTGGCGGTTGCACATGATAGTACAAGATTGGCCGTCAACCTCAGGCAGCTGCATGCTCACTTCTAACTGTGCCTTGATGCGTGTACGCCTCGTACTTATTCTGTTGTCACGTTAAGGCACTCAGCATCGGCGTTATTTGCAACTTGCCATAAGTAGAAACCCGCCTAGTAAAAGTTATAGGCCAGGTTAGTACCGCGGTTATCACTGAATAAAGCTATTGCCTAATCGAATCATTACCAGCGAACGGACAGTCTCATTCACTTACCGAGGAAGCCAGAAGGATTCCCTGACTTCGATCACATCAGTCATCATGTGGAGGGGAAAAACAAAGAAAATCATTACCGGTTCACCGGCGTTTCTCTGCCACACGATCACCGCCGGTATCCTTTGGTCTGGGGACACTGCAACGCCGCCCTCACTCTTACGCATGCTCAAACCGTCGACCTGTGGATTTGTAGACAGACTATTTGGTCACTGACCGAGCTAATTCATTTGGAATATCAGTTCGAACGTTCACGATCTCCTTACCATCTAAAGAACCCTGTTTTACCCTCACATAGTGGTGAATTAATGCCATATTCTTTGACTTCGATCACACCTTGTTCAGTCTGTTCAATTGACAAACTTAAATTCAAAAACCTGGGAGCTTTTGGATTTACTCGCCGTCACTCGCATCAACGCAGCACTGCTTATTAACAGAGATGAAGCGCAAAAACTTGGGGAACGCAAACTAACGGTTTCAACAACTGTAGGCAGCAGACCAAGGTTAAAGCATGATCATCCTCGCTATTGCGACGCGAAGTCATCAGTCCAGTTAGCTACTGGATCAACGCGACGTTCCCTGCACATCTCATGCTCTCTTTTTATCACGAACTATCTTTTGAACGTCCTTCTCATTCTCTTCTGGTCAGCGTTGAACATTTGTTACTGCGAGCTATTGAAATTCTGCTCACCCTCACTTTGTTGGGACTATTCAAACCTATTGACCGTGACCAATCCCTTTACGTTATCACATTTACAACGTTCAATTTATTTATATCGCGACTAAAATAGGAATGCAGCGCGTTTCCTTTGATTTCTTCATTATGCACATCTTTCATCAGAAAGAGCTACCACTCCCACTTCCCATTCCAATGACGTTGTTTATCATAGCCGTCGTAGCGCAAAAGAACACCATCTATTTCACCTGCTTTCATCCCTAAATCAGCTCTGTTTCTCATGAGTGAACAGTACAACCTGTCAATATCATTGGTTTTTGAAATTCTCCGTTGGTTGCCCCCCCTGTTCACCAAATTCCCATCCCTTTGCTTTCGATCACTCATGCATTTTTCTGATCAATATTCCCTGTTCTGCGTCTTCACCCACATATCGTTTTACATCGCATGTTTCCAATTCATTGCTCGTTTTAGCCACAACAGCTTACCGGACAGGTAGGCTTACTTCGTTCCTCATACAATGGTGTTGTACAGTTGTTGTTCTGTGATCTGGTTGCGGATGCACCTTTGCATAACTGGAGTGTGGCAATTTTTGTTTACGCGTTTGCTGTGCGCTCGGTTACCAATGCTCTCCGATTCTCCGCGCCGCCTCAAAGTTCCATTGATTGGTCGTTTTGCAGGTCATTTGCTGGACCCCTATGTGATCTTGTACCTCAAGGTCATCGCTAAATTGCACGTCCATTTTTTCCCATTCGATCTGCACGTATTAATTCATTTGTTTGGAATTGATTTCTCAGAAAGTGACTACTGTGATAGGTCATGCTTTGTTTTATTGTCCTTATCTACGTAACTTGTGCTCCACGCTTGCTCGCTTCTGGGCCCACCTTACGAGCCAGGCAGCATTGTGATGACTATTTAACGGCTAGGTATCTTCCAACAATTTCTTGGGGCTGTGGCCGTCACAGAGGATAATCAACGGCGCCCTATATGCTGCATCCAACGGGATGGATAGGGGTCTGGATGCTACTTCTCAGGCCTTCCCGTCTTCTTATCTCCCTTCCTGCGCTATTTCATCCTTATCGTCCCGCTCCAACTTTACTTTTATCCCCCCCCCCCCAATTTTCAATCCTCCAATTCTTTGCCCTCCCCCATTTTGGTTCAATAGTCGCTTGTCTTCTAGTTTCAAATCACACACAGTCGCAGGGCCTCGCTCCAATCCAGTCGACAATTCCATGTTCAACCAAGTGGACAACGTCAGTTCATCTGTTTCCATTTGGAGTCCTCGAGTCTCGCTAGGACTGGCATGCCTCAACGTGCGCACTTTGTTGCAGATTGGCCAACAGGCAGCACTTGCCCGCACACTAGAGACCCTATCGCTACATATTTGCTATTTATCAGCAACCCGCCTGCAAGATTTTAGCTCCGTGCTTACCCTGCGATCCACCGCATGCGACACTGGCGGCACATTCTCCTTGCGCCTGTCTGGCGATGATGCAGCTTCAAATGCCGGTCAAGCTGGCGTCAGAATTGTTTTGAGTCCCCGGGCTGAAGCTGCCCTGATTGATTGGATCTCAGGAAACAGTAGGATGTGTGCCGTTAAAGTAGCTGGTTCGTTCCATTCTACGAAGTCGCACGGGAACAAACGGTGTCTGTTTGTCATTGCGGCCTACGCCCCCTACAGACTGTAGCACTGATTCGGTAAAAGATGATTTCGATCAGCAACTTCACGGTCTCCTTCGTTACAGAAGAAGCATCGATACTGTGGTGTTTGCTGGCGATCTCAACGCCTGAGTCGGAAAATTGTCCTCTAATGAGCTTCATCTGGGCGGCCAGCATGGTGTAGGCTCCCGTAATGATAACGGTGAGGAATTGCTACACCTGCGTGAAGATGCTCGTCTCTTTCACACGAGAACAAACTTTCATCACTGCACCTGTAGAAGCGTGAGGCCCACCAGCTTCACACCAGCCATGGACACAAATCGATCATATCACGATCAGTTACCGCTGGAGAGGCTGTGTCCAAAACTGCCGCTCGATTTGGAGCACGAGCGTGGACCCTGACCACGCAATTGTCTGCGTTGACCTCCGGGTACGTTTCGGTGGACGTCCATAACGTCAATGTGAACGGATTGACCCCAGCCAGCTGGCGAGACAAGGTGTTCTGAATGTGTATCGAAGTGCGCTGACATCCGGGCTGAGTAAGCGCCCACTGAACACCGTTGAAGATCACTGGTCGCATCTTCGCCAGACCATACTATCAGCAGGCATGTCTTCATGTGGCAAATCCAATTGACAAACTAGACATTGGGTCTCTACACAGTCTTTGGCACTTATAGATGCTCGCCGACGTATTCCGGCTGAAATCGAATACAATAAGGCTCGCAAAAATCTCAGCGCAAAACTACGTGCTAGCCTGAAGAAAGCCCACAAAACCTGGTGGTCTCATCGTGCCTCTGAGATGGAAACAGCCGCTACCGTTGGCAATCAGTAGGCAATCAGTTATTCCGTCTGATACGGGAAACAGGCAGCAGGGGACCTGGTGTTAGCGAGACCATACGCGACGAGATTTGGCAGCCGATCCACAGCCTGTCAAAACGCTTGGAGCGTTGCGCCGAACACTTTGCAAAGCAATTTGACCAACCTGCCTTATCGGTTTCTTTTTCGGGCATTGAGCGCCCTCTTCCCTGGGCCGTCTCCTTGGATCCGCCCTCACGCACAGAATTCGAACGTGTGATCAGACTGTTGAAATGGCATAAGGCCGCAGGGGCAGATAGAATTCCCCTAGCCCTCTTCAAATTCGGGGGACTTGCTCTAGTAGATGATTTACACGAGTTTCTAGTGAACATTTGGGAGCAGGAGACTATCCCGATAGACTAGAGGTGCTCCGTCATTGTCCCAATTTTCAAAGGAAACTCCCGTTTGGAATGCGGCAATCATAGAGGGATCACTCTGATTTTGAATGCCTCTAAATTGCTTGCATCTTCATTCTCCACAGACTGATTGGCACTCATGAAAGCCAGAATCGTGAAGAACAAACCGGGTTTCCTCGAGGTCGGGGCTGCATCGACCACATCTTCACCTTGCGTCAATTGTTGGAGCACCATCATATTTATTGGCGACCCACCGTTATCGTGTTTCTTGGCATAAAAGGTGCCTTCGACTGAGTCGATCGACGTGCCGTTTGGGACTGTCTGCTGAGGAAACGTGTGCCTGATACATACGTAAACATTATCAAAACGCTGTACGCGCAGAGTAAGAGTTTATGACAAACTGTCGCCACCCTTCAGTATCACCAGCGGTGTGAGACAAGGTTGCCCGCTGTCACCTTTTCACTTCAATTTCGCCATTGATGAAGTCACGGAAACAGCGTTCGCTGGACACGACCTAGAAGGTGTGGAGCTACTTCCTGGTGAGCGACTTCTTGACTTGGTGTATGCGGACGACATTGACCTAATCTGTGACAGCTCCCAAACGTGAAAAGCCGCACTGGACCGATTAGCACTGGCTGTCTATTGCTTTGGGCTATGCTTTGCTCCATCGGCATGCAAAGTACTTCTCCAAGATTGCCAGGGGCCCAGCACTGCAATGACCCTTGGTGGTGATCAGCTAGAAATCGTTCAGGAATTCAAGTACTTAGACAGCTATATTAGCGCCCATGGGATCGATGAGTTTACGAACCGCATAGCAAAAGCTCGAGGTGCTTTTGCCAATCTCCGCCACCTATTGCGTAGGCGCGACATTACCCTCGCCCTGAAGGGCAGGGTTTATAACGCAGCCGTCCGTTCAACTCTCCTATATGGTTCCGAAATCTGGCCTATCAGGTTGACAGATATGAAGAGGCTCCTCACATTCGATCATCGCTGCCTTCGCAGCTTAGCTCATGTCTGGTGGGAACACCGCGTGAGCAATGAGCGTGTTCGGCGTTGCGTATTTGGTGCAGGAAGAGCGAGTGAACCGCTCAGCACCATTATCTCACGCATCAGGTTCCGATGGCTGGGCCACATGTTGCGCATGCCAGCACACCGACTCCCACGACGTGCACTGTTTGCGCGTTGTGGGTGCGGTTGGAAGAGGAGGAGGGGAGGCTAAGTGATGACTTGATCGAGAGAAATGAAAACCCTCACTTCGAAGCTGGCGTCGGTTGGTGCATCCCGACTGCCTGGCTGGGGTCCTAAGGACGGTGAACACGTTTGGTTGGACACACTTGTTGATATGGCTTGCAGCGGATCCCAATAGCGTTTGTGTTGTGAGTTTCTTTGTCCATCCTCCTCCTTTTTAGTATCCCCCTGCGATCCCAATTTCATGCAATACGCATAATATAATATCTAACCTCATGTCTTTTGTAATTTGTGTACTTTGTAGTGTAATTTTTTAGTCTGTTATCTTTTTGTATTACGGCACATTAGGTGAGGTGTGTTTCTCACCATCAGCTAACATGTACTGATGATAGATGATGCTGCTGATGATGATGAAGTATCCGACCATCTCATATAGGAGGCTGTAAAAATGTTGCGCTGAGTCCCTTGGTCATCAGGCATCGCACGCTGAGGATCGTCCGCCGGTGCGTATTGCTCATCCACCTTTCGTTTTTGGTAGCTCTAACCCCCCAGTCACACAGTTTTTCTTTCGGAATATGTGCAGAAGCGTAGCCATTGTATATCCTCGCATTTTCTTCTCTCAACCCACTGGATAAACTAGCCTTTCAATGATAATTGAACTCCAATGACGAATATGTCTTGTTTTCTTAAACGTTGGTATATTTGTTCACCACACATCTGCGCTCGCTGACTGCCGTGGCACTTCTATTGTGGACTTTCAAATGGCTGAATTAGTCTGTTGGACATTTAATTCGTTAGACTGGCATTCCTTACTTTGTCTGCAAATGTTTACCGCAGCGTCTTAATGGTACATGTATTTTTATCCTAATCACTTTTTCGCTTTCAAAACTCGCGTCGAGTTCCTCCTTCACCCCAAAGCCGCTAGGTGCGACGATATCACTTAACAACTATCGAATTTTCCCGTATCTTGAAGTCTGGATACCCGTGTGACTACTTCCGTCCTTGGTTTTCCAAATGTACCCAGTCTGGTTGCTTGTGTCCACGATTTTTAAGTCGTTTTTTCTCTGCTGCTGCTGCTGCTGCTTCACACCTATTCTCTCGTTATCAGTCATGATTAGACATATCGTGTAAAATTTGTGAATGCTTTCAAAGTACGAAGTGGTCGTCGAAATCGTTCCCCGCTTTTCTTTATTACACCACACAGATACGAAACAAATTCGAACAGATGGCATATCCGGTGCCCAAGTTTGGTCTGTTCAGTTTCCGATCTTGGGCGTTTACCGTACATTTTTCCGAGCCATCAGTGTCCCGATCAATCACCTCATCATCGGATTTTCCAGGACAGGCCTGAACAATTAATTAGATAGACAAGAAATAAGTGCATTTATAGCATATATTCAGTCGGTTATGTCAATTCCGTTCAGTCACATGATGAGTGAACTCATGGTGGCATAATAAGGTCATCACTTAGGGACACGATTCGAGTCGAAATTATACGTAATAATCCATCCGTCATTAGGTACTCGGTGGTTCCAGTTCCCAGTCTAATGAAGCCAATTTTGTGAGGTACCGTATGTGAATGAATTTCCTGAGGACACTGTTCTTCAATAACAACTTCAAATGCTTCACTCTTTATGATAGACAGAACTTTTATTACTAAGCAGGGCATCCTGCCACCAGCTTCAATTAAATTACTTCCTGATAGTATATGTTCGCAACGGTCTACGAATAGACATGGAGCCATCAAAAACCATGATCAAATGAACGTCCAGTTGTCGTAAAAGTAAACTGAACACAGCACAGAAAAGTCCATGATTTCGTCAGAAGGCACGATATTACCCGATTGATCAAGCCGTGATAGGGCGTTGACCTAGAGGACGCCACCCTGAACGTTTGGCTGAATAGTCTGTCCGCAAGGCAGCAGAACAAATTCAGGGAATCGCGCCCATTAGGAGACCGTGACTGATGGTTTAGTTCATACGCCTTTAGTTTGGTCGGTTGCTAAACAGTGGTCCCATCTTCCCCACAGTTTCTGTTTCACGTTGCTGGAATACAATAATCCACCGGAGTGGAGGCAAGGGCCTGTGATATTACTTATTTGTGAGCCACATCTGGCACGTCGCAGTGTTGTCAAACAGACGTATGTGGCTTTTTATAGGGAAAACGTTTGCCTGGCGAAAATCCACCAAGTCCTGGAACACTGCCGCCGAACCATTGGCTGAAACGGAGGAAACCCGAACCATCCAGCTGGCACCGCGTGAAGTTTGATCGGCAAGGCAACCAACTGCACGCCACGACCCTGCTTCTTACTTGTTTGCCCTCATCAAGCAGAGATAGCAGGAGTGTGATTCCTACCTTGGATGTCAACCGAAGCCGCCTTCCATAGATCACCGAATCTCGCCTGGCGATGTTTGTCACAACGGTTAATGAATAAATGAAGGGATCATTTTGAAGCACTCGTCACGACACAGACACTCAATGTGGATTGCGATACACTTTGTAGTGAACTTGTGTCAATTCGTCCACCGAGACCGTAGCTGAGGCAGATGGCTACTTAGTGTTACCCGCTCGAAAATACTGCACAACCATGATGGGTTTCGAATTTATTGGTCTTCCTCGAGTGCTTGCTGATGAGATCAGTCAGGTTGTTCCAGATTGTTCGTGGAGTTCAGTGTTTTCGGGTGGGCAAGACCCATTATCCATGTAACCCGTTTCCGACTGCTAGTTTGCATGAGGCGGCACTCAGTGTGTGGGGATGGATTGAAACACAGTTTTAATCTGGACCTTTATTCGTATCAAAGTAAACCTGGTATATCTGCCTAGGCACCAAACGGTTCCTTGAGTTGCTTTAATTCATAACTCAACTCAGAAAGTAGTTTCACAAAACCGCAGCGAGTGCTTCCAGCAGACTTGGTTAATTGAATTCTTGCAACCTATTACAATCTATCTCCCACTTTCATGCACATCTGCGCCCTGTGCTGCTCCGAAATCACAAATGACTAGCCATGAATTCCGGTTAACCCGAGGCACAGAGTGGGTAATGGTTACTTGACACATCACACTAAGTATCGCGCGATAAGTTGTTGCAGTACAGCGAAGACGAATGCCCCTCTACACAGCGACGCTTTTGTAGATGTATTAAGCCAATGATCATCGTGATTCTGAGTCTTCCTATACAGCTTCGCTAAGAGACATAATTGGGGGACCGACTGGCTAAGTTGACAACGCGCTGGGAAATTATACACAGAATCGTTTCGTTACAATTCACTCTTTTGGACCCATGGTATCAGTGACACGGTGAACACCCACAGTGGCTGTAAATATTGATAGAGACGTTAGAGTGTGCACATCTTTTGAATTAACCAACCCGCATTACCACAATCGAGCAGCTGACGAATACACTTCACTAAGCGCTTCAGTGACACGACGAACCGAGATCGAATGACTACAATTACAAAAACTTTTTTATTAGGCTGCCATTCAGAGGTACTCACATCATGAAGTTGCATCGGAACGGATAATTACGTCATTGAAAAGGCAAACTATCCAGCTCAGTAGCAGTGGCTCTTCTTGCCTTACTACTGCTTATGTGGTTAGTAAGGACAATTACCTTAAACAGTGCACATCTCACTATTTATGCCGATTCACGTTTAGCTATGAAAACAGCTGTGTCGGGTACATTGATCCTAGTGCTTACTGGACCACATGAACTCATTGACAGTTGAATCGTGTGAATTGAGAAGCAGGGCTTCATTAGCAGTCACGAGTCATTAACTGGACGCTGGTCACCAAGTCAGTCTTGAAGCATCGGTTACGGTCTTCATGCGCAATCAGTAATGCGCTCTAGCTCCTTGAAGCCATTACAATCGATCACAGGTGCCCACTATTCTGCACAGGTGATAGTGATGTTGAATTTTCCTTGGTGGCGCGAACACACCAATCGGCTATCACTTGGCCACCAATCAGCTCACGTGACCCTGTTCATGTTGCGCCCGTTATTGGTTGCATCTGTATGCTTGATGGGAATGCACGGGCTGACGACGTCATCATAACATCTGCGAGTTCTGATTTTCTAAGTTGAGAATATATGCACAGTCAAAATCCCATGATAGCACAGAGGATCTTAGGCTTTAATGGGACTAGTAGAACTATCAAGGGAAGTGTGCAGCACCATAACTTCTGATGACAGAATGGGTATTGTGAACGTATGAAATTTGTTATGAAGGCGATTTAAAAGCAGTTGTATAAATAAAATGACTTACTGAACAGATTTTCACACATCAGTTCAAATCGTGTGATTTATTCTTACCTCACTACTCTACGTTGCACAACTCGCAACTGTGCAGCTGTCCTACAGCAATTCCCTCCTGCGAATCTGGGTGAGCGCAAGATTGGCTGTTATTTGGTAAACCGCATCGATCATTCAAGCGACGCCGACTAAATGCGACAATTTCTTTTGATCCTTGTGCGACTAATGCATTACCTTGTCTATGGCGTCTTGGCTACATCTTCTTTCGCTCAATGCATAAATGTGTCTGCCGAGGAATTACTTAAGCGACCAGATATTTTCGAGGTAAATGACCTAGAACCCAGGTGCGATGTAAGTAGACGTTTGCAACCAGGTGTCATTGTTGATAACAATCGATGCGTGAAAGATGAACATCCAGGGGAGGCAAGCTATCATAGTTTCTCGCTTGGCACACGTAATGCAAGTTACTCGAATGGCCTATGACAGAATTCCGCTTGGAAAAGCGGTGTGTTGATTTTCGAAGAGGTGTATAGTTTTCTCCCGGAACTGCGCTAATAACCTCTAAGCAATCTCCCCTTATGGTGACTGAGAACGAATAATTGAACCACAACATCTCGAGTGGTTGTAAGCAATCTGAATAGCGTTTTTCCGCACTAAATCACTTGCTCATTTTCACTAGCAGATATGAAACCCCTTTTTCGGTCGTTAATTTTCTGTTTGCCCTCGATTTTCGTCGCGCCTTTTAAGGCTACCGAGCATCTGCTTGGGTTTCTTGTGTTCAAATCAATGCTTATTTTGTGCGTCTTTTTGCGCAGCTTTGGTTGCATGCGGATCAGATTCACCCACCCAGTTTTATCTGTCATTCATCCTCTCCGTTTCCCTGCTTCTCTCACGTCGGAAAACGCTCCCCCCCCCCCGAGTGGTGCACCATCTCTGCCACACTGATTTTGTTTGTCGGTTGGACACCGGATATCTTACGTCTGGTTATTCAAGAAACATTCGTCGGTTGGCACTGCGCCTAACTTGACCTTATGGCGACCAAACAGCTTGTCAAGCGTAGTCGTATTTCTTATTTGTTTGATCACGCCGTTTTGCTCTTTGCTACTCGGAACGAACACTCTTTGCTGTTTCGGTTGTTTGTTACTTTTTTTCATCCGGCGTACTCACCACCAACACTTTGTTTACACCGGATAGAGACCATATCATGTTCACCGATCGTCGATCCTATTTTCCACCTCTCGACACTGCTTTTTTCTGCACCTTTTCACTTGCGTTGCTGTCTTCTACAGGAGCAGCAAGCCATCGGTGACACAAAAGGGTCCGTGGCACGCGGAGGCGCCTTCGACGCTTGCGACACTCCTTTCAGTTACCAAGCCAGCGAGGGTATCAATCGAGGCATGTTTGACAACGATTGGGTAGTCTCTCGAGACAGGGCGCAAGCAGACGAGGTGAGCATCCAACTAGACTCCATAATCTGTCCTTCGCAGCTTTCATATTTTTCGTTGTAGGATTCATCAATAGAGAGTCCACTCTGCCGCCGGACACTACTTCTGTCACTTTTTATACCCATTGCTTGTTCGAACGATAGACTTCATGTCTTCAGAGTTGGCCATCGCTATGCGATTGGTTGAACCTGGGCGCAGTGCGTCAGTTTGCATACCTCTCTGTATTGACTAGTTGGTCTTTTTGTACACCCCTAGGGCTACTCCATCTATATTGACCAACGGCCAAAAACTGCACGCACGCTTTCTCATAATCCTGTAACTAAATAAACAGCTTATTTCTCGATACGGCCCAGATTACTAGTCCGATCATTTTGCACAAAAACATCGTAAAACGATTACTAATTCGAGTAAATATACAAATCACGTGATCTCAACTTGGCGAGCCGCGTGTCATTTGACATGGTCAGTCAATCCTACGAAATCACTGTGTCAATCACATATTGATTGATAGTTCACACAGATATTGCAGAGTAAACGTTTTGTGTGTTAGTGACACGATGGCATATACTTTGCTTATGGTGTAGTCTGTCATTGCATTGGAGCGGGAGGTAACTGAATGAAGTGTGAAGCGCTTCAGGCAGAGGCGGCTTGAACTAGAATGATTGTTGTGTTTCTTCACGTAAAATGATCAATACACCAGCGTTATTTGTATGGAAACATGACGCCAATCAGCCAGGCGTATTCGAAGATTTTTTTCGCAGTAATTGAAGGAGTCTCAGAGGAAGGGACATGTTGGAACGATAGAATAATGAACAGGTTAACCGATTTACAAGTACAGAAGGATACTGTGGTGATGTCAGTTTAAACACATCTATGGTGCTGTAAGAGACCTATGACACAAGTCCATAACGATGCGTCCAGTAGCATACAATGAGTAAAAGTAGATACGGAAGGCATGCATGTTCACTGATTCACAGCATGTTCGAGTTCTTACTTCATTAGAATCAGTCAGGTCTGTGTTCCCACAGATTGTCAATGGGCTTGCTAATGTTTGGCAATTCCGTAACAGAGGTGACACTCAAAAACTAGCTCATGGAGGCGTGAAACTATTTTACTAGTCGATTAATGTCTAGTACTTTTTTGCTTCACGCCTATGCGTATCTCTGGCAGAAGTAGCAGTCATTCGAATAAGCGATCTGCAAAATGATTAGAAAAGTGCATGAGTACCCTGTTGGTTTTTCCTCCTAGGCTTCCATATGGACATATAATCCCTGAGATCAGTATGGCCGGTTAGCGAGAGGATATAACCGTGGCCTAATGAGTGAAAACGAGGACCCAGTTTGCTTTCCGTCGTTGACTACCATGTAAACATAAAACCTCGAGGTCGGTGTAGCCGAGTAAGGAAAGGATATAACATTGTTCGCATGAAGGTACATGAGGATTAGGTTTGACGCCCATCTTCAGCCACCAGATTGATTTGCGGGCCTTGAGGTTGGTATGGTTAGGTAGGGAGAGAATGTGCTGAAGTTTCTCAGAGTGGGTTAAGGATCCATGTTTGTTCCTAAGGATAATTGTCGAATTCCCCATTGCCTTTCTCTCAATTTTTTGCGCCAGCCGCTTTCACTATGACCTCTATTCATCCTTCTGTCTGACACCCTGATAACTTTTCAGCCTGCTTAGATATTTTGCAATTGTACGCAGGGAAAGCATTGGTGTATACTACTTAGGTATGTACAGTGTTGACCTTGGTGTGTCCTTCTAGCTCTCTTCGTAGTTACGTCGCGAGCAAAGCCAATTTAACCCGACTCGCCTCACTGCTGCGCGTGTGGTTAATCAGTTACACCAGATTTGTCTTCATCGATCGAAGGACAGGCTGTACTTACTCGAGCAGTATTCACCTAGACGCGCCAGCCACTCAACCAGCAACCTGGTAGTCCTAGCAGTGCCTGCGCAGTTGTGCGAAATTCACTGGCACTTCCGACCAATTCGACAACTTCTCTCTTGTTACTCATCCGAACACGCGTTTTATCTATGCTCACACTGCCTCGCTGTGAAATGAGGTTGTCTTGATTGTGTCGATGATGATGGTGCCGATTTTCTACCTCAAACCTGCTTTCCCTTTAGCTCTGTGGCATATTGGTAGCTTTTCTGATATCCAAACTTGGAGCTTATTCGCAAATCAACTTAGCCGCATGCTTTTAAGTTGGCAATGAATTCTTATTTGTCAACTTTTACTTTTTTTGTCTCTTATAACTCTCTCCTTGATTGGCAGCTAACCTTCTCTGGTAGTACTTTTACATTACTCAACGCACCTCGAATTATGCAGGGTTTCGATGTGGCTCTCTCCCATCCCTACACTCCATGACCGATGATTTCGTCCTGGTTTTGACTCCTCCGGTAGAGGTAGCGGAGCTGGGATTGCGTCTCGGCGCATAGTGCTTGGCGGCTGTCGCCTTGTTCAGTTAGCCATTAAGCCCCGCGAGCAGTACTTGACACAGCGATTGGGAGTTGCTTTTCGGCCATTGAACTCCACACCGCTGATTAACTAGACTAATTGTGCCCGTTGTTTTCTATTAGCCCTTGATATACTTTTTGATTGGACTTTTTTTATAAAACCAGCCTTGCGGTGATCGGGGTCTCTCGCGTCGTGCACTGTTTGTCCCCATTTGCGTGTTACTCCTTCTGAGTGGGCTGCCTATTGGCACGTCATATCTAGCTGTTTTGATCCGATTTGAAACCTCTACAATTTGATCCATGTATTTAAGTCAGCATACCTCAGAGGTTCACTGTTCGACAGAAGTAGGTGACTGGAACCGGTCCTGTGTACAGTTCATTACATTACGAGCAAATTACCATGGGTTGATTAGCGGAATGCAAGCGTCTTCATACTCACCGATACTTTATGGTCTTCCGGTGACTCACAGTGGGTGCACATCTATATGTTCTACCCACTGAAATCGGAGCTCCGCAGAATTGGAATGCCATGTCCGATTTTTTTGTGGCGTTCCTACATTCGGTTTCTTGCATTTAGGTGTTAATTATCATTCAATCCCGACTAGTTTGACCTGCATCCTTATTTTATTTTGTATACATTCTATTTGCATTTGCTGCTGTTATTTATCATTATTCCGGTGACACGAGTCGTGGAAACTGGATCCACCACACTTCTGTGTCCGGATGATAGTTGTCTAACTGAACCTTCCGATTGTTTGGTTTCATCTGGAGGAGCGGTTCTTTCTTTGTCAAATTTCGGTAGCTTTGTTCCGTGCAGGCGCCACCTGTTGCCCACTAACAATCGGTCTACGTTTGAGCACAGTGTTTATCATGTTTCGGCCGAAATTTCAGGCTAATGCCTTTTTTGTCTCCCCTAATTTCAGTCGTCTAACTACGTATTTAATTGAACGATCACCAACGCCGCCGGTTTCACCATTCCTCTACGCCTTGATCGAATCTGCGTATGCATGGGTGACGTGTCGATGGTCTTAGCGCACGCACGATTGATGATGGTCGTATGGCAACAAAGCGTCGATGCGGCGTACCGGCGTACTGCTGATCACTGAATGTATGTGTTACCCCAACGATATAACGCGCGGAATACCGTCATTTATTACCGCGCGTTATCAACACAGTTCGGTTGTGCGGTGCGTTCTCGAAATCTGTACTCAGCAAAATGGGTATTTAGGAATTTCTTGAATTCCGTTACCGACATCGCCTCGACTATTATCTCGGGCAAATTGTTCCGATATTTTTCAGTAAGGTTATTTTCAAACCTTTTGAAATCATGAATTCTCGATCGCTTCCATGCATTTTCACTATGTTCCAATGCTTCATCACTCGCCGCTCAAATTGAGTCATCCGCTTCAAGTCCGTTACCACAACATTGTCTTGATGCCCTCGAGTGCTGCTTGATGCGCCAGCGTGCAGGATCGGCCTCAGCAAAGTCACTCAGCTGTACTATCCGGTCCACTGGAAACCGATTATGCGACAGTGTGTGCAGCCCCAATCTTATGCGTCGGTCCTCGTACGACAAATCCTATAAACGGGATTAGCCTTTCTTCTTTTCTTTATCAAACTTTGTTGCAGACTAGATCGAAAAGGCGATACATAGGGGCAAGGTTCTCGTCGCTACACAAGTATTACAAATCGCAGTCCTCAATCCCACCCCACATTCTATCGGATGTACCTTGTCCTTCTATGTGGTATCCGACACGTGCCACTCCAGTGCTGCGACCTCGGGATAGTGGGATGGTATCTATTTTTCATGGCCATTTCCGCTTTCGTTTATTCCACGTGATCCACTGGATCACGTGTGCGTTGTCAAGTTTATCTCTCGCTATCCGGTCACTTACAGACAGCAACGCTGAGTGCGTCCCTAGCCACTGGTCGGTACATGCATCACTTACAGGCCGATAAATTTTCAGTGCGTTCCACAGGCCTTTGCTCCAATGTCAATCGAGCAATTTGCGCTAATCAGTCACATTGTTACCGTGGATGTAGCAATGTTAAATATACCCTTTTATGGTTATAAGTACGGTTCGATCACTAACAAAAGACATGCTGCACGATACAATGCAAACACGGCACGCTGCTTAGCCAGTAATGATGATCTTGATATAATAAAAATGTTGGTGAACAAGCTCGTTTGCTGTGGTTCATCATCCTGCTGATTCACCACGTGGTGGGTTCTCCTGATGATGAACCCTTGAAAGCAAGTTTGTTCGCCTAAATTTGTTTCTAGTAGCATTCTTATTTGAATCTGTAGCTTCCTTTGATTCTGTTGGTCACGATGATGTCTATTTAGAAATACTCATCTCTGGCACAAAGTCCCCATACCACGACTCCTGTATTTATGTTGTTATGAAACTAAGGCATCAACGCTACGCCGACATACCGTAGCGACGCTTCGCTGCCACGTGACCCCCACTTGTCTCGCGTGGGTTGAGTACACCGCGAGGTTGTCTGCATGTACGTGGATTTGAATTGGTGATTTTGGGATTACAAGG